CAAAATGCAGACGCGCTGCCACCCGTGAGGACTAAGATGAAGTGCCTCGTTTCCAGTAAAAAGGGTCTCCGGTTCTCTACATTCACCATACGAAACACAGCAGCGTTACGCTGCTATTTTACGCTGGTATTCTGTGAGAGCGTGGTCATTCCCCGGTCGAGCCGACCCATTCGTGCTTCAACTATACCAGTAATATAGCTGCAGCATGGCTCTACCACGTAATCTTTCTAGACACAACTTCTTTCGCTGCAGTTTTAAATCTATTATACTTCGTTCTTGCTTCCTTGATCTCGTCATCCGTTGCCTTTTGAACTTTTTGATTAGCTTTTGTTACTAAACAATCCAACCACACTTTCTTCTTTTCTTGCACAGCCCATTGTACATCTTTATCCATCCACACGTTATAGTTCTTTCTTCCTTTCCTTCTTTTAGCTACCCCGCATACCTCAATAGCAACATACACGACCTTTTTCCATAGCATAATGTAATATGATATTTTGCCGTGAGTGCATGCGACTGACATTGGAATTATGTTTGTTTTACAGAAGATTTGCCGTGTAGTGGCGGTCAAGAATACCACTACCCCATATCCTCCCGTGGGTGTCGTAAAAGGCGACAAAGGGAAACAGGCAGGAGATGGGCAGCAGCATCTTCCTGATAATAGCCAAAATTACAATAAAAAAACTGCGGTTGCCAACCCGCTCGCCAAGCGTGGCAACTATGGCAAATACCCCCCTATGAATGACAGTAACAAAGAAACGGCTCCCAGTCCCCGGCGGCCCCGCTATTCCTGGCTACGGTGGCGACCATGGTAACGGCGGGGCAGGGGGTGCTAAGAATCTCCGGTGGAGGTTCGGGTGCCACCTTAGACGACTCGACCTGGCAACGTACAACGCACGCACCCTGAGGACTGACGAGAAGATCGTGGAGCTGGAAGAAGAGATGGACAAGTTGCGCTGGCATATTATAGGATTCGTATCCGAAGTCCGAAGAGAAGGGGAGGACACGGTAATCCTCGAATCCGGCAACTTGCTCTATCACCGGGAGGGCGACCATCTGTCCCAAGGAGGTGTCGGATTTATCGTCCACAAGTCTCTCGTTAACAACGTTGTAAAGATCGGGAGTGTGTCGACGAGGGTTGCGTACCTTATACTCAGAATCACCAAACGGTATTCGCTGAAGGTCATACAGGTTTACGCACCAACCTCGGCACACCCCGATGAGGAGGTGGAGGAAATGTATGAGGATATCTCTAGAGCCATGCATTCCTCCAAAACCCAATATACGGTGTTAATGGGAGACTTTAATGCAAAACTAGGCACAAGAGAGAACGGTGAGCTGAAAGTAGGGAAATTTGGAATAGGGCAACGGAACCCAAGGGGCCAGCAGCTGGCCGACTTCATGGAGAAAGGACTCTTTATGATGAACTCTTTCTTCCAGAAGCGGCCCCACAGGAAGTGGACCTGGTCGAGCCCCGACGGTTCGACAAAAAATGAGATTGACTTCATTATGACGACCAGACGACAACTGTTCAGTGATGTCTCCGTGATCGCGAGGGTGAAAACTGGTAGCGATCACCGAATGGTTAGAGGCACACTGAACCTAAACGTTAAGTTGGAGAGGTCTCGTCTAATGAAGTCAACGCTCCGTCCCCCTCGTGCTCTGTTCCAAAGTCCCGAAACCTTTCAGCTCGAGTTACAAAACCGTTTTCAGTGCCTGGAAGACTGCAATGAAGTGGACGATTTGAATGACAAGCTCGTGGAAACTGTCCTGCGGTCGGAGCTAAGTTCTGCAAGACCCGCCGCAGAAGAACACAAAAACTCTCCGATCACACTCTTAATCTCATGGCTGTTAGACGGGAGATGAAGCTACATTCTTCAACAGACTTGACAGCATACAGGCATCTGAACAGACAGATCTCCAAATGCATGCGGCGGGACTTACGCAACTTCAATACAGCTCGTATTGAAGAAGCGATCGAGCGGAACCAAGGCTCCAAAGTCTTTGCCAGAGATCTGTCTGCCAGAAAGAGCCACCTGTCAAAGCTGAAGACAGGATGTGGCAGCATCGTTTCCGGGACACCTGAGATTTTGAGTGAGATTGAGAGGTTCTATGGGCAGCTGTACACGTCATCGTTGGAGCCACACGCAAGTGTGAGTAACGATCCAAGAGCGAGTCTCATCCGACACTATTCCGAAGATATCCCGGACGTCAGTCTGAGCGAGATTAGAATGGCTCTCCAGCACCTTAAAAACGGTAAGGCCCCAGGTGAGGATGGAATTACAGCGGAGCTTCTGAAAGCGGGTGGAAGACCGGTACTTGAAGTCCTTCAGAAGCTCTTTAATTCCGTCCTCCATGGTGGCATTACACCGGTGGCGTGGAGCAGAAGTGCGGTGGTCTTGTTCTTCAAGGAAGGTGACAACGCTGTCTTGAAGAACTACAGACCGATTTCCCTTCTGAGCCGCGTCTACGTGCTGTTTTCGAGAGTCATTACGAATCGTCTCGCGCGCAGACTTGACGACTTCCAGCCTTCCGAACAAGCCGGTTTCCGAAAGGGCTTTAGCACCATAGACCACATACATACCCTTCGGCAAATTGTACAGAAGTCCGAAGAGTACAATTTGCCACTATGTCTGGCGTATGTGGACTATGAGAAAGCCTTTGATTCCGTCGAAATTTGGGCGGTGCTGCAGTCCCTTCAGCGGTGCCAAGTTGACTGTCGGTATATCGAAGTGTTGAAGTGCTTGTACAGTAGGGCTACGATGGCTATCCGAGTACAGAACCAGAGTACGAAACCTATCCAATTGCAGAGAGGTGTAAGACAGGGTGACGTCATATCCCCGAAACTCTTCACCGCTGCATTGGAAGACGTTTTCAAGCTTCTGGACTGGAAAGGATACGGTATCAACATCAATGGCGAGTACATCACTCACCTTCCATTTGCCGACGATATAGTCCTTATGGCAGAATCGCTGGAGGACCTAAGCACTATGCTCAATGACCTCGATAGTGTTTCCCAACGGATAGGTCTTAAGATGAACATGGACAAAACAAAGATCATGTTCAATGTCCATGTCACACCTATGCCGGTAGTTGTTGGGAGCACTAAGCTCGAAGTTGTTGACGAGTATGTTTACCTGGGACAAATAGTCCGACTAGGTAAGTCCAACTTCGACCGAGAGGTCAATCGACGGATTTAACTCGGCTGGGCAGCGTTCGGGAAGCTACGACACATCTTCTCGTCAGACATACCTCAAAACCTGAAAACGAAATTGTACAACCAGTGCGTGTTGCCAGTAATGACTTACGGAACTGAGACGTGGTCCTTCACTGCTGGCCGTATGAGGAAGCTCAAGGTCGCTCAGCGAGCTATGGAGAGGGCTATGCTCGGAGTTTCTCTGCGTGATAAACTTAGGAATGAGGATATCCGCAGTAGAACCAGAGTAACCGACATAGCCCAACGGATTAGTAAGCTGAAGTGGCAGTGGGCCGGCCATATAGCTCGAAGAACCGACAACCGATGGGGAAGAAAGGTTCTCGAATGGCAGCCTCGTACCGGTAGGCGAAGTGTAGGGCGTCCCCCCACGAGATGGAGTGACGACCTGGTAAGACATGCAGGAAGTCGATGGATGCAGGTGGCTCAGGACCGTGCTTTGTGGCATTCTTTGGGAGAGGCCTATGTTCAGCAGTGGACTTGTGAAGGGCTGTAATGATGATGATGATGATTACAGAAGATGACCATAAGAACAATCGACAATTAAAAATCTAAAGAGTCACAAAATTTAAACAAATTAATATATTTGCTATGGCCTCCCATTACATAATATACGAAAATATAATGTACCTACACAATATAATGTACACAAAAGCATAAGTTTTAAGAAAATTAGTGATATTCACTCTGTAAATACTAAAATTTAATACTACTAAATATTAATACTAAAACAGACAGACATTTTTTTATAGAATAAGACTAACAAACAGGTACACTGTCCACCTCATGACAAGATGTTGTCATCTACTTACCCATTGTCATCTACATCTAACCTCAATTAACTCATATTCCCTTTACCTCTATTTCTCTCTTCTCTTGGTAAGCTTAAAATATTTGGAATAGGAGTAGTTCACGATAGTAGTCGAATGGCACATTCGAACTCAAGATCTTTTGAGTTCGCGGTCCGCACCCAACTATTAGGCTAATGTTGTATAGATTTACTTTTAACATAAACATAAACTCACGCCTGTCATCCAGAGGGGTAGGCAGAGACTATGGACTTCCATTTGGCACGATCCTGACACACCTCTCTCGCTTCCTCCACATCCATATACCTACACTTACACGCTCTTCGGTTAAAGGTACTCTTTATATCGCCAATTTGGTCGATATTAACGTAAACGTTAACGGTAACGTTACGTTTAACGTAATGATAAAATCAAATATTATATTATGCATAAGCATGTTTTTATACATTTTATCAAGATCATTGTTAACAACAAGGTGGTCTTAAGTACATAATTTTTTTTAATTTTTATTTTAAAATATATCGTTAATTCATTTATAAATACAATACTATAAGTTATACATTATTTTCATTACTATAAGCTTACAATACATTTTACAACGAATATCTTTACAAACTACTGAAAGTTCTACAAGCAAATGTACATACATTCGTATATCTACTAGTTATATTTATTGCTAAATAAAATTCATTCGTAACTGTGTTGGCTGTCAATATTTGACAAAATGTTCTTGATGTGAAAACGAAAACGTTTACAAGCAACTTTTTAGGGTAAATTACAATCCACTTAGCAACAAAATTATACCTATCTTATAATGTAAGTTATATTCAACTCTATTCGTGTGTCCATCAAACTCTACTTTCTTAGTAGATTTTGTTTCGCGATGTGGTCACTCAATTCACCTTGGAGCTCAAGTGCAAAAACTAATCAGTTACAATTTCGAATCGGGATCGGACGCACTGCACTAGTCGAAAAAAATGCGCGGCAAAACTTTGACATTTTTCTTTTTAATTTTCTGCAATGTATTTGGTAATTGCAAAGGAAATGAAAGTAAAAACGAACCGCGGGGCATTATTTCGGCATTGGAAGAAAAATTAGAATTAAAATTACAAGAATATGTTATTTATGCTACTAAATGGCTAGAAGGTCTTAATGATAAATATTTAGGCGATACTGAAGTGGGAAGATTAATCCATTATTATGAAATGAAACCAAAACTCGACGTTTCTGAACAACGTAAGTAAAAATTCAATTTTTTTTTTCATAAATGAAATTTCTAAATCTTTGTATTAAAAATCACCATTTTTATTTAAAACAGTAAAATTTAAAAATAAAATATAACAGTTGTAGTTTTTTGAACTGTTTAAACTTTTCAAAACGAACTTGATCTTTTAATTTTATAACACTACCTAAATGTTATATGCATGTACAAATATTTTTTTGCTTTTTTGTTTAAGTTTTTTTGTTTATATATCTTTCCTGTATATGAAAAATATGAAGCTTATAATTCATAATATACCTTAGTTACAGTATCTAGGTACATGCATTTAAAAAGATCCTAAGTTATTTTAAGTAAACCTAAAATTATTTTTCAACAGAAAACCGCGGCATTAAAAAGATTTCGATGAGCATGTTGCCCCTCATCTTCCACGTGGGAGCCACCTCGACGTGGATGCTGATTACCTCCCTCATGGCTGCCAAGTCTGTAGCCATTGGTATTGCTCTCCTGGTGTTCAAGATCGCTGTCAGCTCTGCTAAGGTACTTTTTCAAGGAAGTAAAGTGACAAATGTGTACAAAGATTAACTAATGGCAGTGGATACTGTGGCCCATAGACTGCATTTATCATCGATTGTCGAATGTCTCGTTACCTATAAAGAGTCTCTTGATCTCAACACTCACCATACGAAACACAGCAGTATTACGCTGCTATATGCTCGCATTCTGTGTCGTCCTTCTCTGGTCGTGCCGACACATTCATGCTGCAGCCAGAATACAGCTGCAGCGGGGTTATTCAACATACTGTCTATTACAATATGGTTTTCGATTATTTGGATAAAAAAATGTTTCTGTCATAATATCCTCCGGCGGCCAGTCTCAATAGAGACTAGCCATCTGTGCGGAACGGGATCATAGTGCCCGAGTGTATGCGCAAGCACAGGTGCACTCTCTATTCCCTCACTCTCATGGTGCGATGGGATGGTAATCCGACACGCCCGGAGGAAAGCAGGAGCAGGACCAAAGACTACGTGCTTTCCGTGACACCGGAGTGAAACACCGCCAACTTCGACTCCGGGCTGCTATAAAAATTTCTTGATATTAAAACCCAAAATATAATTTTTGATCCAACCAGCGATCCATAGTCGCTCCGCTCGCTTGCTCCTTTGACGGCTCCGTAGCGCAGTGGCTTAGCAATGAATTGCAGCGCTTAGGGCCGCGGGTTTGAACCCCGCATGGCACAATTATTTGTAAGGCCTACAAATAATTGTTCCGAGTCTCTATGTTTGTCCTTGTGAAATTTATGTACGTAAACTTCCCCCACAAAAAATCGTAGTCACGGTCGCACAAGTTATATTAGCTGTTATAATAAAATAATAAAATAATATATATTTTATTTTAGAAAAAGTATTAGGGTTCCGCGCAAAAACATAAAAACCCTAACACGCGAGCGAAGTCGCGGGGAACAGGTAGTGTACAATATTATTGTTAGATACGATTTCATGCAACAAAACGTTGGAATCTTGATTTTTAGGCCCTAGTAAAACATCCTACGCGCTTCGCGCTTAAGGCATACAAAAGCATGGTGCCGATATAGTAAAATCTATCATCCCATCTCCTTCTGTAGATTTTGTGCATATACAGGTCGATTTTTTATGAAACTGAAGTGACAAACAAACTTACGACCCACCTGATGGTAAGTGGTTACTGCAGCTTATGAACACCTGCACTGAACTTCAAACCAAAGGCTACAGATGCGTGAACACGGTTTTATTGTAAAAGGCAACTTCAAAGAACATATTTCACATTTTGATGTTAAGATATAGTATATAGAGAAACTAAAACGCCGACTTCAGAATGTGAAACTATTTTTACCCGACTGCCCCAGTAGAAAGGTAATGTTTTTCGACAGTATGCCTGTATTTCTGTTTTTGGCATGCTGTGTAGCCTAAACGGCTAAATGGAATTTAACATATGGAATGTTGTTAGATTCGTTTAAGTTGTGGAAGTGACATAGGGTATAAAAAATTCTCTATTCCGTAAACATTTGCACGCAGATGCATTTTTCATACTACTGTTTTAATGATTAAGTTTGTATTATTTATAGTTCTTTGAAATAATTATTAATTGACGGCTCTGTGGCGCAGTGGCTTAGCAATGAGTTGTAGCGCTGGGGGCCGCTGGTTCGAATCCCGCACGGAATAAGTATTAGTATGGCCTATAAATAATTGTTCCGGGTCTGGATGTTTGTCCTCGTGCAATTTATGTTTGTAAACTGCCTCAACGATACAAGAGAAAATCCTAGTAACGTTTTTTTTTTTAAAATAGGAGTTTAATTTTTTAAACTTTTGAGTGGGCGAAAGAATACCAAAACCTCAATGTCATAAACATAAGAAAATAAGGTTATTCATGTTAGTAGCATTGTTAGACTTCTTTGTTTAATCCTATAGGTATTAACAAGTCTTTAAAGAGCTTAGTAAAGTACGCAGTAACAAGTAAAATCGGGCAAAGAAAAACGAAGATTATTTTGAGTGAAAGTAGTTTTAACAGAAATAACCTAATTTTTTGTCCGAATACACCGTGCCGCACACAGCGAATACTGTATGGCAAACTTATACTAAAACACTAATGGTGGTGAAAAAATTTAGGATGTGGTCCAACAAAAATAATAATAACTCGTTGTAACTTTAACTTGCCGGTTGGTATTAGTTCACTTAGAGCCACGCTGGAGTTATATTATGGTTGTAGCACGAATGGGTCGGCTCGACCGGGGTAGGACCACGCTCTCATAGAAGACCAGCGTAAAATAGCAGTTCACACTTTCTTCACATCTTACTGGAACTGAAGCATTCCATCTTAGTCGTCAGGGGTGACAAACAACGCATCTGCATTTTTGATCGAGGATTAATGTAGAGATCTATGGGTTTCAGTATCCATTTACCGTCAGGTAGACTCTATGCTCGTTTGGCACCCTTAATCTATAAAAAACATGCGTGAGAAGGTCGTGGAACACTCGGTTGGAACGAAGTTCCTTTGGTAATATATTATTATTGATTCATCATCATCATCATTACAGCCTTTCATAAGTCCACTGCTGAACTTAGGCCTCCCCCAAGAATGTCATAAAGGACGGTCCTGAGCCACCTGCATCCATCGACTTACTGCATGTTTTACCAGGTCGTCACTTCATTTCGTGGGGGGTCGCCCTACACTTCGCCTACCGGTACGAGGCTGCCACTCAAGAACCTTTCTTCCCCATCGTTTGTCGGTTCTTCGAGCTATATGGCCGGCCCACTGCCACTTCAGCTTACTAATCCGTTGGGCTATGTCGGTCACTCTGTTTCTACTGCGGATATCCTCATTTCTAAGTTTATCACGCAGAGAAACTCCGAGCATAGCCCTCTCCATAGCTCGCTGAGCGACCTTGAGCTTCCTCATACAGCCAGCAGTGAAGGACCGTCTCAGATCCACAAGTCATCACTGGCAACACGCACTGGTTGTATAATTTTGTTTTAAGGTTTTGAGGAATGTCTGACGAGAAGATGTGTCGTAGTTTCCCGAACGCTGCCCAGCCGAGTTGAATCCGTCGATTGACCTCTCGGTCGAAGTTGGACTTACCTAGTCGGACTATTTGTCCCAGGTAAACATACTCGTCAACAACTTCGAGCTTAGTGCTCCCAACAACTACCGGCATAGGTGTGATATGGACATTGAACATGATCTTTGTTTTGTCCTTGTTCATCTTAAGACCTATCCGTTGGGAGACACTATTCATTCCAGATGTGGAGGATCATACACCTTCCCTGTTGGACCTTCTGCTGACCTCTCATCCGGACGGATATCAGGTTTCCGTCGATGCCCCTCTCGGCTCTTCGGACCATTGTCTGATCCGGAGTGTGGTGCCACTCACGCTCCCCTTGCGGTTGCGTTCTGCAAGTTGCCGCCGTGTTTGCCATTACAGATCGGCGGATTGGGACGGAATGCGGTCTTTCTTTGCATCCTACCCATGGGGGTGGGCTTGCTTCTCGCCGAATGATCCCAGCGCTGTTGCTGACTCTGTCACTGATGTGGTGCTACAGGGAATGGACCTATTTATTCCATCATCTGTGGTACCCATCGGAGGCAGATCTCAGCCTTGGTTTGGTCGCTCATGTAAGACTGCATTACGCAGTAAGCAGGAGTGTTATCAAGCCTGGGCTGCGGTTTCGGCGACTCGGGATGTAAACACCAGCACACTTAAAAAGAAGTATAACTTCACCTCCAGGTCCTTCAAAAGAATTATTGCCAAGGCAAAGTCAGAACACATAGGCAGAATTGGCGAGAAACTAGTTCGACTTTCTTCGGGAACCCGTGCATTCTGGTCTCTCGCCAAGGCTGTCCAAGGGAATTTCTGTAAGCCATCACTACTATCTCTGCACAGGGAGGACGACTCACTGGCCCATGCCGCAAAAGACAAAGCCGACCTTTTAGGCTCCCTTTTTGCGTCCAACTCGACTCTTGATGACGGGGGGGGGGGCTCCACCTCCAACCATCTCACGGTGTGAGTGCTCCATGCCGGATGTGCTGTTCTCACAGGGCTCGGTTCGCAAAGCACTCCTCTCCCTGAACATCCAGAAGTCGAGTGGGCCTGACGGAATCCCTCCAATTGTGCTGGAGGACGTGTGCTCCGGAGTTGGCACCGGTCCTAACGCGCGTAGTCCCGAATTCAGGGAAGACAGCTTTTGTCTACCCGATCCCTAAAACAGGCGACCGCTCAGACCCGTCCAACTATAGGCCTATCGCCATCACCTCCTTGTTCTCCAAAATAATGAAATCTATTACTAACTGCCAGCTCATGTGGTACCTTGAGGATCACCAGCTGATTAGTGACCGCCAATACGGTTTTCGTCGTGGTCGATCAGCTGGTGATATTCTGGTCTACCTGACCCATAGATGGGCGGAGGCAGTAGAGTCCAAGGGGGAGGCGTTGGCTGTTAGTTTGGACATTGCGAAGGCCTTTGATCGGGTTTGGCACAAAGCGCTTCTTTCGAAGCTCCCTTCCTGTCGGCTTCCCGAGAAATTGTGCAATTTGATCACCAGCTTCCTTGCAGATCGGAGCATCAAGGTCGTTGTAGACGATGCATGCTCCGACTACAAGCCTATTAACGCTGGTGTTCCACAAGGCTGTGTGCTATCACCAACGCTGTTTCTTCTGCATATCAATGATATGTTGCTAACTGGTAACATTCATTGCTATGCGGATGACAGCACTGGTGATGCTCTATACACCGGCCGTGCCAATATTTCTCGGGAAAACGTCACCGAGTACCGGAACAAACTTGTGTCTGAAGTTAGAGTCTTTGCTGAACAGTCTTCGAATGGGGGCGACTAAATCTAGTCCAGTTTAATCCTCAGAAGACACAAGTTTGCGCGTTTACCGTTGAAAAGAACCCCTTTGTCGTATCTCCTCAGTTTCAAGGCACTCCCCTTCTTGCCTCAGCCAGTATCAGAATCCTCGGAGTCAACATATCGAATGACGTGCAGTTTCGTGGTCACTTGGAAGAGAAGGCCAAATTGGCCTCTAAAAAGCTTGGCGTGCTCAGCAGAGCGGGACAGTATTACATGCCGGCACACCGCCTACAACTTTACAAGGCGCAGGTTCGGCCTCACATGGAATACTGTTCCTAACTCTGGGCAGGGGCTCCCCAGTGTCAGCTCCTTCCAAATGACCGCATCCAGCGCAGAGCGGCTCGAATCATCGACGACCGAGTCTTTTCCGATCGGCTTGATTTATTGGCACTGTGAAGAGATGTTGCATCCCTTTGCATTTTCTTTCGCATCTACCACGGGGAGTGCTCTGAGGAATTGTTCGGATTAATCCCAGCCGCTGAATTTCACGAACGCACATCGCGGCAGAACTCCCGATACCATCCACACCATCTGGATGATTGGCGGTCCACCACTGTGCGATTTAGAAGATGTTTTCTTCCTCACATGACTTCCTTATGGAATCGATTACCATCAGCGATTTTTCCGGACCGATACGATTCACTGACCTTCAAGAAAAAAGCCTACTCCTTTTTAAAAGTCCGGCAACGCATCTGCAATTCCTTCCCTCGTGTTGCAGTTGTTCATGGGTGGCGGTAGTCACTTACCATCAGGTGAGCCGCATGCTAGTTTGCCCCCTCTCCTTTAAAAAAAATGTGGCAACTGAAATGATGAAAGTTAATGGTTTTCTTCGTCCCACATATCTCGAGAACAAATGATGATATCAACTCGAAGCATTACTCGACGGGCACTCGATGCAGGTAGCATAATCAACCAAAAAATCAAACATTTAATTTGCCGCCAAATGGAAAGTGCATAGTTATTGCGGCCGAATGGCACTCACCACCCACACCTCACGCATTTTAACAAAAAAAAGAATTAGTATTTGTCAGTTTAGCTTTCTTTAGTTTTATATCCGTGAGATGGCGACACAATAGAATGTTATAAAAAAAAGTAAAAGTGAAATGAGGTATGAAAATAATTTATTTCGCAGACCGTTGATATTGGGTGCTCTACTACTAGTTACGTTTGCTCTTTTCTATATTATTTTGATTATCGTTTCTATACACTGGTAAAAGAAACAAAGCAGAATTTTCATGCCCGTCTTGAGATACTGACCTAAAAGCCTAAAATGTACAAAAGTGTTAATAAAATAGCTTTTTTTTGCTCAATCTCTAAATCTACGGTGCGTACACCTACCGCGTAGTTTATTGAAAGTAAATTGATTGAAGAAAAAAAACTGTAAAGAGCTCTCTTTTGATATTCAATTTAAATTAAGTTCCATGCGTGAGTAGTTGGGAGGTATACCTATTACTGGCCATAATTGTTAAGCCTTGAGAGTTGAGATCAATCTAAAAGTCTATGAGAAAGAATACTCGCTTTATGTCCGCAAAAACGCGTGATTACATTTTTGTTTTTTAAACTATGCTTCAGTTTTACTTTCTGCGTTCATTAACTCATTACAGCTCGTCAATTTCCACTGCTTTAGCAGCATAGGCCTGCTTTCCAAGCGTGTGAGCAACAGCAGTTTTCCATTATTTTAAGTTTTTATTAAGAAGATGCTAACTGCATTTCCATTTTAAGTGACGTCACTGAGGAGCGTATTTGTGCTTGTGGGGATCCTTAGGCGCAAATGTGAATTGCAGAGAAACGTCAACGATAATAGAACGAATATATGTTAGAATAATGTGTGTGTTTTTATATAGAATAAACGAGCTGACAAACGAGCACACAGTCCACCTGATGGTGAATGGATGCTGTGGCCCATAGACACGAAAATGCAAATGCGTTGTCTCCTCTGAGAACTAAGAACAGGACCTCGTTTTCATTAAAAAAAGTTTCGATTTCCCTACACTCACCATACGAAACACAGCAACATTAGGCTGCTATTTTACGCCGGTTGATTTTGGTGATTTTTCTACCCTCCCTCTCCCCCTGGTGAGATATCGTGGGGTATGGCATCAAAATGCGTATTTTTAGCGAAAATATGTTATCTGTGCTTGACTGCGTCGGATTTATTAAAAAAAAACGTGATTTGCTTATTTTATTATTTTATATTATAAGAACCATGCTGCAGCTATATTAGTAGTATAGTTGTAGCACGAATGGGTCGGCTCGACTGGGGAAGGACCACGCTCTCACAGAATACCAGCGTAAAATAGCATTAACATCTATCTTGATTATTTTCGTCATCCAGAAGTTTATAATTAAATTTTACCTGGATTTGGAATAATCTCCCATATTATCACACAAGAAAGTGGGAAAAAAAAGAAACATTTTGATGTTTAGGAATAATTTATGCTATAATAGCAATTGGTTTATTGGGATTTATTGTTTAAGCTCATCATATATTTATAGTAGGAATAGAGATCGATACTCGAGCTTCCTTCACTTCCGCAACTATAATTATTGCTGTACCAACAGGAATTAAAATTGTTTGTTGATTAGATTAGAGGAGCAGTATTTGCAATTATATGGGGGTTTATTCATTGATATCCTTTATTCACAGGATTATTATTAAATCCTTATTTACTAAAAATTACGATATTCTTATTACCTACCTGATATTTGTGGAGTTCAAATAATCGCGATAAATATTATTGTGTAGCTGTTAGCCATATTTTACTTAATTTAACCAAATTTTCTCGAAATTTTACACTGCCCTCTCCCCCACATGAGATTGTGTGAGATTCGGCTCAACCCCCCCCCCCCCCTCTAAACACATAACCTAATTATAGGACGCCCTCTATTCTGTGAGTGCATGGAAGGAGCCCAGTCGAGGCGACCCAATCGTGCTACAGTCATAGCTTCAGCTTACTAATCCGTTAGGCTATGTCGGTTACTCTGGTTCTACTGCGGATATCGTCATTTCCAAGTTTATCTCGATTCCGCCTGACATAATATACTCAGACCGGCGGCTGACAGCTTCATCAAAGGTGTTCACGTCCGGTACTCCGATCATCAACCTGTTTGTCAAGCGTGACGGTTAAGGCAAATCTTACCAACAGTAGGAGAGGTCCATATGCAGCTGTGGACTGTTACGGGCTGGTAATGATGATGATAATGAATGGTGTTTTATGTTGTTAATAATATTAACTTGTAATTGAACTTTAACTTGAATGAAATCTATATTTTTCTATTCTATTCTATTGATGTTATTGGCCGACCCCAAAAGAAGAGAAAATTCACAGTTTATTCTACTGTAAATTGTATGTGTATGTTACGCGATCTTCACCAATTGATTTATTATTAAGTTGGTTGCTTTTCAGGTATGCTCCCATATAAATTTGGGGAAAAACTCCACCCTTAAGGGTGATAAAGAAAACTTCTTTTTAGTTCATTGAAGTCGGCTTTAACTTGTTGTAAAACTTTATAATTATTATTAACAGGTGGCGTCATTCTTCACGACACTGAAGGCCAAGAACTCGGGCCATCACCACGACTGGTCTTGGACCCCTCATCACGAGCACCACGGTTAGTAACACTAGTTACAAATTTGTATAACTACTTTTAAGTGCCGCGGATTCTAGATTATAATCCCAAGTGCGAATTTCTTAATAAATAGTTTATTCTTATAATTATATAGATTAGGTTATTATATTATAATACTTAAATATTTAAATTTTTTTTTCATATCTATCTATATCAGAATATACACATAGTGACAACATTCGACAATAATCGATTCGACAAAAGTAGGCGAAAATAGAACCCACGGCACCAGACCACTGAATAACTAATAGTACTACGTAACCATACTATGCGTTTTTTATAATTCAGATAATTAAAAATGACACGAGTCAAGGGGCATAGCCGATGACATTTTGTAGAAAGCAAGAATTGCCACGCTATCTGTCAATTTAGCCCAAGTGGGATGCGGGAAGTAGAGACTGTGTAAGAACCTCCGAAGGAGGCGGAGTTATAGCCGAAATAAGAATTTTAATTTTTTTGGTTTTTGGCCATTTGACCGCCTAGGAGTGTAATGAGAACTTTTTGCCCCTACTCAACCATGACCCCCATGACATTCTCTACATGATGGGCTATTCAAACTGACTAGGCCTAAAAGTCGAGCCACCCCCCAATGTTTTGGTTTTTGGCCATTTGACCCCCTACGAGTGTAATGAGAACTTTTTGCCCCTATTCAACCATGACCCCATTACATATACAAACTGACTAGACTTAAAGTTCGATCCTCTTGCCCCCCCCCCCCCCCACCACTCAATTTCTATCTACTACAATATTGACATTTAAAATGAATGTCACAATAGAATCTGTTATATATTACTAAAAGTATTTTAGGAAACATAGTATCTACAAAATACTAAGATCCTAAACAAAGAGGGTATTTAAATACTAGATACGAAATTAATTTAAAAAATTTTTATAGTTACAAGATGAAAATATGTATTTTGTATCTTGTATTATATTTCAGATACTTATATCTTAGATAAGTTACCTACATATCTGGATTTGTTGACCAACACTATTGGTAAACAAATCCGAAACAACTCGACCGTTATTATTGTAAGTTTTAAATTTAAAGAGAAGTAAACAGCAATAATGTGATTAAAATTTAGGTATATATGAAAGGTAATGCTATCTTTTTTGTAAATTTGACGTGGCAGTTCTCTTTTTGCTGCAAAAAATTGAACAATCAGGCTTTTTTGTAGGATGTCGATTCACTCGCACAACTAGATATAATCAATGCAGCTGCAAGTTGCTAGTTGCTTTAGTGTACTCACAGGACCGCGTGGATTTATACTTTGACAGAGAAGAACGCCTGCGTATGGATACTCCCATCCGGTCCGTCGGTAGCCCCTGTTGCTCTATGATGCCACGTGCGTCTAATATTCGACGTAAATCGGATCGTGTCGGTGGCACGCACCGACTAAAACGTCGATAATAATCGGTCTGTACGAGAATTATTTCTATTGAATGACGCGGGCTCGATTCTTCGCTACAGATTTAAATTTTAACTTTCAAAGTAAAATTCTTTCCCATCTGGATTTTATCTAACAACCACTTTGCCGTAATATGTCGGGTCACCTGTCCAAGATTGAGCCAGTAGTACACAATGAAACATTTCAATGTATCAAAAATGCGACGTTGTTAGATAGTGCACAGTATATTTAAAGATGCGGCCCCAAGATTCCTTCCAATACCCCAGTTCGTGGATGCGGCGCGTGCGAAGCAGGCGTACGGTAGTGATTTAACGGATTTTACGCAAAAAAGTAAGATTTTTCATTGATATTCGTCGATTTTTCAGTTAGAGTTTGCTTTTTATCTTAATATTGCATGACATTGTACATGTATTACAGATTTCAGTTTCGTACAAAACATACTTAGAATATTTTTATTTTATATTTTTATTTTAAGGTTATTGAAGTATATGGCATATAGTAAACAATGAATCAAAACCATGTTTCATGTGTACTAATCGTATTTCAATGTTTACCATGTGGCCCATTGCTAGTGCATTGTGTTGTTTAATAACTACACAAATCATCCACTAAAAGCTTTTTCTTTTGTTTTTTACTACATGTAATAGATTTACTGATTCATTGTCATTTTTACTTTTTAATTTTAGATTATATATTATAGCGTACTAAAGCTAACAAAAGCAAGAAATGTAACCACACTGCTGATAATATGCTTCAAGCTATCAAACTTTATAGCCGAGGATGAAGCATCAGAAAGGCAGATAGGGAGTGTAACTTATGCTATCCGACACTAAACGTTATATAAAAGAATGTAACAGTACTGCGGATTTACAAAACCAGCAATGATGATGTCAACAAAATATTAACAAATTACCAAGAAATAGCACTGAAAGAATATATAAAACAATTTACATTAATCTAAATGGATTATCCACTAAAGACGTCTGCAGCCTTGCTTATCAAATGGCAACTATAAATAATATAAAAACTCCTGATAGTTGGAATCGTGAGAAAATGGCAGCCCTTGAATGGCTTCGGTCATTAACTTTCAATGAATTTGTCGTTGCTAAAACGAGAATCCTGCAGGCTTGCTTGTGCCACCGTTTTTAACAAAGAGTGGATGGTGGTGGAGATATGACGACCTGGTAAGACATGAGAGTGACGACTTAGTAAGACATGAGAGTTACGACTTGGTAAGACATGCAGGAAGTCGAAGGATGCAGGTGGCTCAGGACTGTGTTTTGTGGCATTCCTTGGGGGAGGCCTATGTACAACAGTAGACCTGTGAAGGGCTGTAATAAAAATGACCATGATTATGAGACTGATTGTTATTAGTAAAGTTACTGATAATAAAATAAATTGACTAAGTTGGTTTTTTAGTGTTTGATAATAATTTTGTTGATTTTATAACTACTCAAAACCTTAATTTTTGTTTAAGTTTCTTTTACTTTAATAAAACTAACTCGAAATAAAAATAAAATGGTCTGTATTGTTTGATTATGATTAAAATAAAACGGAGGGTATAAGCAAGAAGCACTGTTTTATTAATGTAATTACCAAATTCATTGCCAAAAGTACAAAATAGTAAGTACATCGGATGCTGGCTCATTGTTAAATATAGCTAGGCTCATTGTGTACACTCTTATGTACACAATGGATCATTTCCCATTTTAAAAAAAACCTTAGTCTTAAAATATCTATAAATATTTTGAGAAAAGTAATAATGCCAGTCTATAGCCAATTAAATTTGCTATCTTCGTCTAAAAACTTATTTCTAATATCTTAAGAAAAAGCGATGTTATTAAGTTCTAAAATTTAAGTGGCTCATTGCTGGACAGGTTACCCTACATAAAAAATGTAATGTTTGTATGATGATTTCTTTTATTGAGGCGTTGAAAACCTAACTTTACGGATCTTGTCGCGTTTAATTTTAACTTCTGTTTAATTACCAACGCTTCTAATGCTTTACAGCACCCATGGTCATGGGACAGAGGAGTTTAAAGTCCTAATGTCATAGTTAACTCGGGTTATTTTCAGCTTTAAAATATTAATTTTGGTTCGATCTACGCAGACCGAGATACTGTATATCTTGAAGTCTTATTGATATGATTGTTTTTGGGTTTAATTTTAATAACTATGAGATCCAATCAGATCATTTAAATATATTAATAAGTGGAAATAAGTAAAAATTTGATGCGTTAAAATGAATGTGAAGGTTATATCTTATTGAGTGTTCAGTACAACATATTTATGACTGCTTAGTTTTGTCCGTCCGCCCGTCTATCCATCAATCATAACCCTTTTTCTCAGGAATTAAACTGTTCTATTTTCAAAAAAAAAGCCCAGCTGGCTTTGCTGTTGGTTCTTCCTAGTACAGAGCTATTTTCCGAACCAGTTTTAAATTAAACATAAGAAATGGCTTTCAATAAGTATTACTTATAATCTATATTGAATAAAAAAAAATCTATTTCTATTTCTGTTATTGTAAATGTCGCCAATCGAACTACCAAGCGTGGTGATGAATGCAAAAACACCTTATTACGGGAGAGGTACAAGAAAAACTCTCCTCATTTACAAATGTAAGAACAATGTGATCGTCTAAAATAGAAACGTAGTAATTTAAATTAAGTTAATTTGAAATGTAATATTTTCTTTCGAGTTTTACCGTTATATAACAGAGCTCACATGCAAATTGTGGTATTCAATAATTTACACCTCATGCTGCAAAGAAATAAAAGATTATAAATGGCGTCTGCGTCAAAAGTGATTGCGGTAATGATTTGGCGGGAACGGTAACCGCTGACAGAGCGTGGGTAAACTTTTTAAACAGTGAACGACACGATAGAATTGTCATTATAAAATAATTAGGGACTATTAGGGACAATCATTGACAAACTACAGGCTGCGAATCGATTAACCTATTTACTTACGTGATAGAGCCACGCAGCAGCTATATTATAGTTGTAGCACGAATGGATCGGCAGCGTGAAATAGAAACTCGATGCTGCTGTGTTTCTTCGTATGGTAAGTGTATACAGAACTGGAAACCCTTTTTACTGGAAACGAGGCATTCCGTAATAATAATATTTTTTAAATAATTATTTCTTTTTAATTTTTAATACTTTACATCACCCATGGTCACGGGGGTACTGAGGTGTTTGACGTCCCGATGTCATAGTTAGCCCGGATGTCTTCAGCTTTGAATATTAATTTTTAGTCCGATCTACGCAGAACGAGCTTACATTATCTTGAAATCTTACAATGGCATGTTTGGGTTTGGATTTAATTTTATTAATTACCTATATGATCTCAAGCCGATGGTAGCACCAGTTCATCTTCTCTATTTAAATTGTTGATGATTCTTAAATTCAATCGCCTCGCGAATCATCCTTGGTAGGAATCGGTGTACTTTTGCGAGGATTTCTTTTCTATCAAATCTGATGTAAGGGAGGGGACGATCTTGAACATGTTCAGACTGCAGACTTTCTACACCGTCGGTGCTTCACGTCAACTATAATATGTACTATTACGCGG